GGAAAATTTCAGAAATAAACCATTCATAAATTTTAAATTGAGTGCCATTCTGAGGAGCATGATGAATCTCAAGCCTTCCAGCTCAGTCCTGCCCTGGACATGAATCATCCCTTTGTCCAGCGTATCCGTGCTTATACACTACCTGCCCACCCATTAGTCATTTAGTAGCCATCTTGATTATCAGATCCATTGTCATGGTATTGCAGTGCATGTATTCAGGTAACCCTTATTTTACTTAATAATGACCCCAAAGTGCAAGTGTAGTTGTCACCGGTGCATTCCCTAAGCAGCTGGAAGGAAGTTTAAAGGTGCTTAACACTCCCCAAGCAGCTGGAAGGAAGTTTAAAGGTGCTTAACACTCCCTCAAGGTTGTTTATCAGAGCTGTGTCGGGAAGAGATACCAGCATCAACTGGCCTGAACCAGATCGAGCTCCACTGCAAGAGCAGCGCCTGCGCAGATGACCTGAAGATGACCAGAAGATGCCCTTTTCCTCTCCGCCCTAGGAGGAGCCCAGGGCTGATTAGCATAACATGCGAGGTATGTGAGAGCATGTTTTCAGACTGAGCCGGTGCCAGCTAATACCTGCTTATACCAGCTAATACATGTGATGATAAAACTTCCCTTTTATTTATTTATTTTGTGTGTGTGTGTGTGTGAGGAAGATCAGCCCTGAGCTAACATCCATGCCAATCCTCCTCTATTTTGCTGAGGAAGACTGGCCTTGGGCTAACATCTGTGCCTATCTTCCTCCACCTTATATGGGATGCCACCACAGTATGGCCTGACAAGCAGTGCGACGGTCTGTGCCCAGGATCTGAACCTGCGAAACCCAGACTGCCAAAGCAGAGCACACAAACTTAACCGTTATGCCACCAGGCTGGCCCCCTCATGTATTTTTTCAACAAATATCATTGACTACTGATGGGGTGTGGGGCAGGCTGCCCCAAGATGTGTCACTCTGATGTGTGGATTATTTCGAGCTGAAGACAATAAAGGCTCAGAAGATTCAGAAGAACATTTGGCCTTCTCCCAAATTGCCTGAAAGAATTTAAGATAGAAGGCCTGTCTCCAGGACAGGCCATCACCATAGATAACTCTGGGTATGGATAGACTGGGAGGGTCCTTGCTAAGCCCATTCTTATCAAAGCTCTGAAAACCAAGTAAAGGAAGAAGTTATCCTTTGTAAGAGACATTTACATTTATAAGGGAAATCCCCATCTAAAAAGGTATCTCCCTCTGTACCAGGAAGAAGGGAAGATGACCTTATCTCTAGAAACTCTTATCAGTGCGGAAGGCAAGGACTTAAATCTGTGTATTAACCTTACTCTTGTTTAGTGTACTTTTCTGGTAATCTCCCACAGCTGACTCCCTCCACCCCCAACATCCTCCTTTGTCTTTAGCTGAAGATAGTATTTAAGATGAGAACCTCTGCTATTTTTGTGAGTTACCCAGTTTTTCCTGGGTCTCTCCCATGTATACATGTTATAGAGCTTTGTTTGATTTTCTCCTGTTATTCTGTCTCATGTCAACTTAATTGGTAGCCCAGCCAGAAGGGACCCAGAGTGGGTAGAGGATAGGTCTTCCTCCTCTACACTACCTTCTATAAGTTAGACACTGTTTTAGGCCTAGGGATACAATAAAACAAAGTCCTTGCACTCATGTGGCTTACATTTTTTCCTAGTAGCAGAAAGCAGAAAACAAACAGAAATAAAATAAATATATAGCATGACAAATAGTGTTAAGTATGAAAGCAGAACAAAAGGGACAAGAAGTTTTGGGAGGGTGTGGTGATGGTGGTAAGGATTGCTATTTACTGTATTACAGTCAGGGAGGTCTTTATTGTTAAGGGAACACTTGAGCAAAAACATGAAGAAAGTAAGAGACCCAGCCATGAGGGTAGCCAAAGTAAGAGAGACAGCCATGAGAATAGCAAGGAGTCCAATAGTGCTGGAGTGGAATAAGCAAAGGGGAGAGTGGCAGAAGATGAGGTGAGAGAAGGGCAGGGAGAGAACAGATTATATAGAACCTTCTAGAGTACCACCCTTAAGACTTTTTTTTTTTTGGTGAGGAAGATTGGCCCTGAGTTAACATCTGTGCCCATCTTCCTCTCTTTTGTATGTGGGATGCCACCACAGCATGGCTTGATGAGCGGTGTTCATGTCTGTGCCTGGAATCCAAACCTGTGAACCCTGGGCCGCCAAAGCAAAGCACACGAACTCAACCACTAAACCATTGGGACGGCCCACTTAAGACTTTTAAAATTCTGCGTGAGATGGGAAGCTATTGGAGGAATTGGGGCAGAAGGGTGACATGTTTAAAATGATCACTCTAGCTGCTGTGTTGAGAATAGATTTTAAGGAGCAAGGATGGAAGCTGGGAAACCAGAGAGGAGGATATCATAAAAATCCAAGTGGGTAATGACAGGGACTTGGACCAGTGCAGCAGTGATAGAAGAGGTAAGACATAGACAGTTTGTCCATATATTTTGAAGATAGAGCCAACAGGATTTCCTAACGGATAGGATATGGGATACGAGAATAAAAGAGGAGTTAAAAATGATTCCAAGGTTTTCGTCATAAGCAACTGAAAGGGAGGAGTTGCCATACACTGAAATGGGGAAGACTGTAGGAAAAGCAGGGTAAGGAGAGGATATCAGGAGTTTACTTTTGGACATGTTGAAGTATGTCCTGGAAGCCAAATGAAGAAGTATTTTAGGGGAAAAGAAATGATCACTTGAGTCAAATGCTATTAAACAGTCAAATAAGATGAGGAATGAGAAGTGACCATTGAGTTTAGCAACTTGGAAGTTGACAAGAATGGTTTAGTGGAGTGGTAGAGGTGAAATAAAATGGTAGGAGAAAAATTAGAGACAGCAGGGATAGAACACACGTTGGAGAAGTTTTACTGTAAAGGATAGAAGAGATATGGGGGCAATACCTGATGAGAGAAATTAGGTCAAAAGAAGTACTTTTTGTCTTTAATCGTGTGAAAAGTATCAGCTTATTTATATGCTGGTGACAATGATCCAAGAAAAAGGAGAAAAATGATAATGCAAGAGAAAGAAGGAACTTTGCTGGATGATGTCTTTGAATAAGCAAGAGGGGGTGAGATCTAGCGTACAAATCCAGGGGTTGGCCTTCGATAAGAGTATAAATAGTTCATAGTAATAGGAGAGAACAAAGGGAGAGAGCCTATACAGATGGTTGGATAGACGTGATGGTGGGAGCTTGGGATGTTCTTTTTTGATTGCTTTTCTTTTCTCAGTGAAAGAGGAAGCTGAGAGTATGGTTGGAGGAAGAGGTGTTGGAAGTTTGAGGATAGAGAAGATAGGAAGTAGTCCGCTTAAAAAAAAGGATATTGATTGGACTTGGAGTCAGAAAATTTGATTTTGACTCCCAGGTTTTCCACTCATCAGGTGGGTAAAATTTAACTTGTCTATTCAACCTCTTAGGTGTTCTATTTCCCTTTGAGTAAAATGGAGATGATAGGTGCTGCTCAGGATTTGTTTTTTTTTTTGGTATGAGGATTAAAGAAAAGAATAAAGGTGAAAGGGAAGCATTTTGCAAAGTTATTTGTACTTGAAAAATAATTTTAACACTTGAATCCACTTATCAAGTACCTGCTCTGTGCCAAGCACCAAGCATTGTGATGTGTTTTACATACCTTATCTTATTTAATCCTTACATTAACTCTGTGAGATAACGCATTCTCATCTCATTTTACTGAGAGGAAGTAGAGCTTCAGAGAAATTAAGAATCTTCCCCAAGGTTCACAAGTTAGTGGATGGCTGAGCCAGCATTTCAAGCCAGGATTCAAATCCAAGGCTCCTATTCTTTTTTTTTTTAATTTTTATTTATTTATTTATTTTTTTCCCCCAAAGCCCCAGTAGATAGTTGTATGTCATAGATGCACATCCTTCTAGTTGCTGTACGTCGGACACGGCCTCAGCATGGCTGGAGAAGCGGTGCGTCGGTGCCATCCCCGGGGATCCGAACCCCGGCCGCCAGCAGCAGAGCGCGCGCACTTAACCACTAAGCCATGGGGCCAGCCCCCAAGGCTCCTATTCTTAACTATCCTTTCCCAAGACATATTTTTCTCTTATTTTTTTTTTAAAGATTTTATTTATTTATTTTTTTCCCTCCAAAGCCCCAGTAGATTGTTGTACATTCTAGTTGCTGTATGTGGGACGCGGCCTCAGCATGGCCGGAGAAGCGGTGCGTCGGTGAGCGCCCGGGATCCGAACCCAGGCCGCCAGCAGCGGAGCGCGCGCACTTAACCGCTAAGCCACGGGGCCGGCCCATATTTTTCTCTTAAATTAGCTAAAGTGTACTAAGTTACTGCTCTCTCAGGGCTTCTTTTTTGGAGCAAGTTACAAGGGTCTTCTTGGTACTTTTCAGGTCACAAGAAAGCTGAGTAGTTCATTTTGTGTACTTATGAGGTCAGAAGTGGTTTTGATATTTGATTCATTCCATGTCAGTAGGAGTTGAAACAGAGAGCACTGATATGAGAGGTGCTGTTGCCGGATTTTTAGGAGAAAGATCTTTAAAAAATATATTTTAAAGTATTAAAAATATATATTCTATTTCCCAACTCTAGAGAGCTGGTCCTTGGGCATGCCCCCGAAGGGCGACAGCAACGTGGTATCCATCCCTGACGTGTGGACTTGAGAGAGGTTGGTCTCAGAAGGGTGAGGAGGAGTTGGGTGAGTCGCTGGACAGGCTAAGGTCGGTCTCTGGGGCGTCGGACAGCTCGGCCTCGATGGGGCGCAGTAGGTGTGGGCGTGGGTGGGGGTGGGGAGGGCCCGTTTTGAGGGCGGGGTCTGCGGCGGGCCGGCCTCCGCGGGCGGAAGGTGAGGCTGCGGCGGGCGCGGGCGCGTGCGCGTCGCCACGCCGGGCGTTTCAAAAGCTTTGCGGCCGGGACCGGGCGGTGCGAGCGCTGCGTGCGCGGCCCACGGAGCCGGCTCTGCTCTGCTGCCTCTGCGCGCCCGACGACTCCACCTCTCGCGGGATCCGGGCTCCCGCTCGACGCCGGCTTTCTCCTCGACGCCCAGCCGGCGGGGGTCGCCATGGTTCACTTCTTGCACCCGGGGCTGTCGCCCCGGACCATCGCCCTTCCCGACGCTCAGAAGGATGCCCTGGGCAGCTGCGTGGTGCAGGTGAGCACCGGGGCGGCGTCGGGGACGCGAACCCCGGCGGGACGCCCCGTCCCTGGCGAGCGCAGCCAGTCGTCGGAGACTGTGCGAGGCTCTTGTTGGTTCGTTTGGTCGATGCGGGGGTAAAGTCTGAAGAGGCTGAGGCCCTGCCAGGCTCCCTTCGTCGCCGGGGAAGTGCATGCTGAAGGAGAGGTTTCTGCCCGGGGCGTCCCAGCCTCAGGGCGGAGCGCGCCGACCTTGCGCAGCCGGGTGGACGCGGGGCGCGCCCCGCGCGTGCCCTGGGGCCAGTCCCCGCCTCTGGTCTCCGGCTTGCACCTATGCTTGCTAAAGGCAGCAGCTGTTTTGCAGGGTAGTGTAAGTTTGGACGTGACGCTAGCCTGGACGGTAGTAGACGCTGGCGCTTATTATTGTCATAATGAACCCAAATGCCCCAAACCTCGACCGTTCCCCCACGTGCGTCGTGGACGTGGTGCTCCCCAGAGGCCGTGGCTCATCGGCCACTGCTACCCGAGGCATTGGGCCGGGGGACCGGAACAGAAAGACCCTCCTCAGCCCGGTTGTGGGAACTGGAACACTGAAGACTGAAATTCCTTCAGTTCCACGTGTTCGCCCCCTCCCCCCATGCCAATTAAACTAAACTCAGAAAAATGCAGAGTAAAGTGGTGTGTGTTCGGCGCCTACTGTGCGTTAAGCATCACATTTCTAAAGTAATCTGGTCATCTCTGGTCTTTTGTAGGCATTGATAGTCTCCATTTTAGTGGCATGTAGTGAAGTTGAAAACTGCAAGTTAGTTAATTTGCTCATAAACTTGAACTTGACCTCAGGTGTTCTGATACCAGTCCACATTCTACAGCGCCCCAAAGGACCACCCTCTTGGAACTCAAAATCCAGTGAATGCTCAACCCAAAATTAGTGAGGAGGGAAGGAAATACTCTGATTGAGGTTGTGCTTTACACACTAACGCCTTGTTGGAAGGCTTTTGTGCCCTGCAAAGATCTAGCCTGTACTCCTTGTACTCTTTTGGACGTACTTTTAAAAGCCGTACTTTCAAAAGCTGGGTTTTAACTATGTACTAGCACAGTGTGTCAAGCACATTTTTTGTTTCTGTTGATTGCAATTGAAACACAAGATTTTCTTTAGAAAAGCGATCAGACCAATCCATTTTTTCTGTCCGGTTCCATCGTGTACTATATGTATGCTCGTTTTCTTTGTACGATTTTATTTTCAATTAGTTTTTAAATTACTCAAGGCGTGAATACATTTTCCTCTATAATATATATTTTTCCATTTGTTTATGCCGTCTTTAATTTTATTTAGCAGTGTTTTGTAGTTTTTGGTGTAAAGGTCTTTTACATTGTTGAATTCATCCCTGTTTTTGATACTACTGTGAATATTTTTAAAAACTTCACATACACTTTTTTTCTGGTATATTGATCTTGGCTCTTACAACCTTGTTCAAGTCACTTATTTCCTCTAGTAGGTTTTTTTTTTTGAAGATTTCTTAAGATCTTCATAATCGTGTCATGTGCAAATAAAGACAGCTTTACTCATTCCGTTTCACTCTATGCTTTTTATTTATTTGTTGTTTGTTTATTTATTTATTTTTGGTGAGGAAGATCGGCCCTGAGCTAACATGTATTGCCAATCTTCCTCTTTTTGCTGAGGAAGATTAGCGCTGAGCTAACATGTGTGCCCATCTTCCTCCATTTTGTATGTGGGATGCTGCCACAGCATGGCTTGATGTGTGGTGCGTAGGTGTCTGCCCAGGATCGGGACCTGCGGGACCTGTGAACCCTGCGAACCCCGGGCCTCCCAAGCGGAGCGCGTGAACTTAACCACTGTGCCAGGGGCCGACCCTGTTTCCTTTTTTTAAATTGCATTTTTCAGGACCTTTTGTAGGTTGTTAAAGAGATGCGGTGAGAGTAGACATGTTTGTATTTTAGATCTTTCACTTTTAAATGTGATACTGGCTATAGATTTTTCCGTAGATGCTGTTTATCAAATTAAGGAAGTTTTATTCTATTCCTAGTTTGCTGAGAGCTTTTTTTTTAAAATCATGAAATGTGTGTTGAATTTTGTCAAATGCTTTTTCAACATTTATTAAGATCGTATGTTTTTGTTTATTCTGTTAATGTGGTGGATTTTATTGATTGTAAATTTAACTGTACATTTTAGCAATAAACCCCACCTGGTCATGAGGTATTATTTTTATATATTGCAGGATTCTATTTGCTAATATTTTAAGTATTTTTATGTCCATGTTTATGAGTGAAATTACTCTGTAGAAATATTTAATCAAGTTCTAGTATTGGGATAATACTGGCCTCAAAGAATGAATAGGGAAGTGTTCCCTATTCAATTTTTTTAGTTTGTGGAGGATTGGTATTATTTCTTTATTAGATGTTTAATAAAACTCTCCAGTGAAGCCATTGAGTCTTCAATTTGTTTGGGGGAAGGTTTTTAATTATATCTGTTTCTTGGGCAGGGAATTTAATTATATAGAGCTATTCATATATTTTTTTTTTTTTTTTTAGATTTTATTTATTTATTTTTCCCCCAAAGCCCCAGTACATAGTTGTCTGTCATAGCTGCACATCCTTCTAGTTGCTGTATGTGGGATGCGGCCTCAGCATGGCTGGAAGAGTGGTGCCTCGGTGCGCACCCGGGATCCGAACCCGGGCCGCCGGCAGCGGAGAGCACGCACTTAACCGCTAAGCCACGGGGCCGGCCCAATTCATATATTTTATTTTATATTTATAAAAGGGTCAATTCATCAAGAAGACATAACATACCTAAATGTGTATGCACTTACTAACAGATTGTCGGTTTTTGTAGTTTGTCATCCAAGGAATGTGCCATCCTAGTTCATCTGAATTATCAAATTTATCAATGAAATTGTTCATCAAATTTATTTATTTATGTATTTAAATTTTTATTTATTTATTTTTTCCCCCAAAGCCCCAGTAGATAGTTGTATGTCATAGTTGCACAGCCTTCTAGTTGCTGTATGTGGGACGCGGCCTCAGCATGGCTGGAGAAGCGGTGCGTTGGTGCATGCCCAGGATTCCGAACTCGGGCCGCCAGCAGCGGAGTGCGCGCACTTAACTGCTAAGCCACGGGGCTGGCCCTCATCAAATTTATTGACAAAAATTATTATCATTCTGTTTGTGTGTGATGCATATTGGCCCTGAGCTAATATCCGTTGCCAATCCTCCTCTTTTTGCCGAGGAAGATTGGCCCTGGGCTAACATCTGGGCCCATCTCCCTCTATTTTATATGTGGGACGCCGTCACATGTGGCGTGACTACCTGTGTGTATGTCTGCACCCGGGATCTGAACCTGCAAACCCCAGGCCACCAAATTGGAGCACGTGAACTTAACTGCTGAGCCACCTGGCTGGTCCCGTCTTGTTTCTAATATAAATATTTAGAGCTATACATTTCCTCTAACAGTGCTTTGGTTAACGCCCATAAATTTTGATGTGTTATTCAAAATATTCTCTAATTTCCGTTATGATTTCTTCTTTGGGATATTTAGAAGTGTACTGCATAATTCCCAAAGAGTTGTGGATATTCTGTGAATCTTTTTGTTTAATTGACTTCTTATGTAATTGTATTGTTGTCAGAGAACATACTCTGATTTCAATCCATTTATATTTATTGAGACTTGTTTTATGGCTTAGCTATGATCTATCTTGGTGCATATTCATGTGCACTTAAAAGGAATATGTATTGTATAATTGGGCATAGTATTCTGTGACTGTCAGGTCAACTTGGTTGATATTGTTAATCTTCTATATTCTTACTCATTTTCCGTCTACTTGTTTTTATCAGTTATTGAAGATGAGTGTTAATTTCCAACTGTAATTGTGGATTTTTCTTTTTACTCATTCAGTTTTTGCTTCATGAATTTTGAAGCTGTTAGTAAGTGCATACCCATTTAGGAATTATGTCTTCTTGATGAATTGACCCTTTTATCATTGTGAAATGTTCATCTTGATTTCTGGTAATATTGTTGTCCTGTAGCCTTCTTTTTCTGACATTAATATAGTCTCTCCAGTTTCCTTCTGAGTAGTGTTAAGCAACCCTGTGTTGTGTTTATGTGTAAAGCACATCTCTTGTAAACAGCAGTCTTGCTTTTTTATCCAGTCTGACAATCGGTACCTTTTAAATTAGAGTAAATGTAGTTATCAAAATTGTTGGATTTAAGTTTAGTGTGTTGCTATTTGTGTTCTATTTGTCTTGTTTGTTGTTTGTTGTTGTGTTTCATTCCTTTCCTGACTTCTTTTGAATTATTTTTAAAGTTTCATTTTTTCTCTTCTATTGACTTACTAGTTGTTTCTGTCCTTTTCTTTCCCTCTCTCTTTCATGGTCACTCAAAGATAGCCGTTTTTAAAGTGTGGACTCAGGACCTCTGGGGTCCCTAACACCCCATTCTCTTCCATTAAGCCATACGTTAATGAAATTTCCAAAATGTAAAACAGTGCTGTTGTTGTCACTAAACTTTTTAAAAATTCTTTTTGAAAATACAGTGGTTAACTGATATACCAGGACATATCCGATTTCTAGGAACTTCATACAGTTTCTAGAACTCTCATATACCTATACAGATACTACATAGAGAAGGCTTAGGGCCAGCTCGGTGGCATAGTGGTTAAGTTCATGCGCTTCGCTTTGGTGGCCCAGGGTTCACAGGTTCAAATCCCAGGTGCAGACATACACATAGCTCATCAAGCCATGCTGTGGCGGCGTCCCACATACAAAAGAGAGGAAGATGGGCACAGATATTAGCTCAGGGCCAATCTTCCTCACCGAAAAAAAAAAAAAAAGTTCCTTATGTCAGCATGTGATTTGTTAAATTTTGTTATTTCTAAATGAATTAATACATATTTTAAAGATTTTTCAGTTTTAACTTACAATGCAGTAAATATTGGTAGGTATAACCCAATTTTTAAGAGTATAAAGGAGTCCTAAGACCAAAAAGTTTGAGAGCCACAGCTCTAG